TGGTAAGTGACAAAAATGCCAACTATAGGAATTTATATCTAACCTGCACCAAACAGTTCTGCTGTGAAAGTATTAACACTGTACCAATACTTTTGAAACCTTATTTTATTATTTTCTTAGTCTTTCTTTTGGAAAGAAAGTTCTTTTTATTACTCGGACAATGATAGGAAATAGGATAAAAACTTGTTGCCTACACTTATATTGTTGATCAGAAAATTTAATTTTTTATAGGAATTAGTTTTAACATTTGTAAACTTCTCTATTGAAAAATTATAGACATTTGTAATTAATTCTTGTATATCTGACAGTTTAGAATTCTAGAAATTCTCACAAAAGTTAGCAGTTAACACCTCTGTATTGATGTGGATATAACATTTAAGTATGTTTTGAGGTGGATGTAATGTGTCACCATATTTTGATGTGAATATAATGTCTTTATATTTTGATGTGGATATATTATTGTGTTTTCCTGTGTATCTGATGTACAGTTTTTTTTTTTAACAGGAAACATTTCTAGGAAGATTAGCAGAGACAGATAATGACATTATGCATGATAGACAAAACGAGTATAATCTTATTATACCAAAACATAAATGGGTTATGTTTGGCAAAACCATTATTACAGTCTTTCATAAAGCACCAGCATTTCACTTGATGTAAGTATCCTGATATACAGGACTTTACTTTCTGCTAAGGATAAAGTACTTTTATATTAAAACATGTAACTTTGCCATAATATTTAACAACAAATTATCAGTGTTTTCAACAAGTTAAAGATCAATTGTATCTGGTTATCCTCATTGTGCACGTGTATACAGTTAATCTCACTGTATAGTAAAGACTTCTATATGCCATTGGGTACAAAATGTGCTGTCCCAGACATCATGTTTAGAGCCATTGTATTTGGTTCTCTATAAATATCTGACCATTTGATAGTGCAATGCTGCTATTTGCAGAGCTGTGATTGGGTGGATATTAAAAACATTTCTTCAAAGAGAAATATTCATAAGTTGATAATTATTAGACATAGTAAGGTTAAAGGACACATTTCAAATAACAAGGTAGTCAGTGTTCTCCAAGGAAGTGAGAAAACTTGGACAGAAGGGTTTTCAGGAGAGAAACATGTTTGGTTAAGAGAGAGGCAGACCCAGAAATTAAACCTGAAACCAGTTAGTACCACCCCACATGAATTGAGGGAGCAGCAGTCTCTTCTGTAAAGTGAAGGTAATGGTTACTAAAGAGAACACTCTAACCTAAAAAGTCATTTTGAAGCTCCCATCATATTTCCTGGTACCAAAAAACAACAAAACAAAACATTGAGTTCGAAATGGAAAAAGACTTGCAAATAAAAATTGCATAAGCTTTTAACCAAACCTTTTAATCAATCTTTTCACAAGAAATATGTACAAAGAAGCACATATCTGTCAAGTCCCCTGGTGTTGAACTGTTGTGTCTTTGGTCTTGTGATCCACATCCACTGGAGGGTAAGTGAAAAGTCTACCAAAAGGTTTGAAACTTTTACACAGCTGTTCCTTGCAGAAGCTTGTAACAATGAAAATTGTAGTGTTAAGCAGTAGTGCTAAATCAAGACCATCAGATTGTATATAACTTATGATGTAGGAAGTAGTTTATTTCAAGGGTAGCACAGAACCTGTAAAATCGCATATAAATACCAGTATCTGTTTGTGTCAAATGCAACTTAAATATCATTACAAACCAATAGACTTAAAATAAGACCCAAAACTCGAGCGCTTTCGAAGAGTTAACTATTCTTCTGCTAACTCTTTTATCAAAATTACAAACCAATAGATGGCGCCACAATATGCCATTGTCGGTTTTTATCACCTTTCATAACATTCTAAAAATTTAGTAACAAATTTTATGAGAATTTTTATGCAATATTTTACAATTATGGGTTTGTCCTGAAACCCTCCATTTTTTTGTCTTTGCCATCACAGTTAATAAATCGCAGGGTCAGACATTTGACCACATGGAAATATTTTTTCCAGAAGTAGTTTTTATATATATACATGTATAAATTCTAATCAAAGACCTCTTACAGTTGATAACAGAATATACACAGAAAATGTTGTTTTTCATAAAACACTAGAAAGAGAATAAAACATTTTCTTATTATAATATAACTAAGTTTTAGAAAATGTGTTAACAAAATAATTATTTAGAACAAATTTTCTGAAGCTAAGTGGATAAGCATTTACCATCATGACAGGCATTCAGTTAATTTTCTTATAAAGTGTGATTAACCCTCTGTATACAGTCTATAGGTATTTATACTATTTATGGTAAAAGGTATACGTACAACTGCCATAAATATTGATATATTTTATAATTGCAATATATATATATATATTGCTTCCACAATCCTTAACAATACTTTAGTGTTCACTAGTATTGCCTCTTTCAAATTAGAGTATATTAGTAATATTACTGAGATACAAAAGTACTTATTATATATTTTTTTTTATTAATTAGTGGAAGAATAGTATATAATATAATATTGTTGCGTCA